GAACCCCTCCACAGTCTCCAATGCACCTACTGCCATGTCTGTCATGCACCAGTGCCTCTGATGTGCACCACTGATTCCTGTCCCCAACAGCAGTAGAGAGGGGCAAATTCAGCAGTGGCAGTAAGAAGAGCCTACTGTAGAGGGCAAGAGGGAGTAGCAGGAAGGGCTGCAGAGAGGTGTGCTATAGAGGGTCAGTGACATAGTGCAAGGTGGAAAAGGGGGATTTCTCCAGGACAAGCTGCTTGCTGTGGGCTAGCTCAGACTACAGGCTGGATCCAATCACTTTGCAGCTTAGATCTGATCTGCAGCTGTAGGTTGCTGATCCCTGAGTTAGAGGACAGCCCAGAAACAGATATGACAGTAAACACCTCTCTCTTCCTACTTGCTTGTTTCACTTATGATAGTATTCTGTACCCATACAAAACAGTCCTTTCTCATTGAAACCCAAATACAGCTTCTGCTCTCCCCTGTCCCTGAGCAATGATTTCTAATTTGGAAAATATCACTTATCTTGACAAAGGCTGTTTTGTCACTAACATGACATTTTCCTGCGTTGCTCCCCTTGTACATGCTTAAGGAAGGGGTGGGGGGAGGCGGTGTTCCCAGCGGTAGTGTACAGGAGGCACTGGAGAATATTCATAATGAAATGATACCACAGAAAAGGGTTTGAGGGTCCCTTGATAAAGGCAGAAGCTGTCAGGGATGAAGACTTGCTTAAGACAGGTATATACTTTCAGAGCCTCTGCTGCTGTACCTGGGGGCTTTATGGGGACAGCGGAGCCCTCTAGCGGAGATGCTGTGTATACCAAGAGAAGTTTTTATGCTGGTAGGGCTGCTGTGCTATCTGTCCCGCTGACATACATTACCCATCAGAGCTACAACTCTACTAGAAACTAAGCCAATGAAAGCACTTGACTGGCACAGTTGCATGTACACCATGGTTTTTGCTATCAGTGTGGTCTAAAGGGGTTCAAATTTTTCATGGTCCTAGCTCAGGGGTTGACAACCAGAGCATGGCATGTGAAAGCATTTTGCTTAGCACGTGTGCCTCAGGGCAGACAGCAGGCAAGGGGCTGGGGCTCCACTGCCACAACATAGGCTCCATGGCAGGTGGCACACTGCACGGAGGTCTGCAGAGTCCCATCCCAGTTCATTGCTGGTGACAAGTGCATGCGTGGCTTGGGGCGGATAGTGGGGAAGGGGCCAGGGCTGTGCTACCATAACAAGGATGAGGCCCCTCGTGGCTTCCCTACAGTTTGCCCCTGGCACACCAACATCTTACAAGTTGATATTGGGGTGTTTTTGGCACTTGTCCCAAAAACATTGCCAAACCCTGTCTTACCTGACAGAGCCATATCAGTAAAACCTCACAGTATAGATCTGACCTTTGAAATGCCCAGTAAAATGGGGTTCCAATCTCAGAGTTTTCAACAGGTCCTGCGAAGACAATTAACAACAGGTATAGCACCATAAGCACAATTCCTGTTCCAGAAGAAGTAAGGAGAAGATAGGAACACATGAGCACTGATCTCTGTGGCACAGCTGGTTAGTGTGTTCAGCTATGAAGCAAAAGAAGTGTGGTTTGCACTCATTTAAGGATGTTGGCTGGGCTGCGTACCTTGTGGCTAAAATTGAAAAGTTAATGCCTAATGTGGAGAGGGACAGTCCTGCCTTGAGAAGGGCAGTTGAAGTAGGTAACCTTTCATGGTCCCTTCCAGCCTCATTTTTCTGTGGTTCTATGACCTGGCACTTCCATCTAATCCAGAATCCTGTCCAAGACAGTGGCCAGAATCAGATGCTCCCAAGGAAGGTGGAAAGAGCCGTACAGGGGTGGCTCCAGGGAGGTGCAGTGGTGCGCTTGCATCCCCTTTGATTCCTCATTGTCCCAAAGTTTCAAACCAACTGCCTGGCAGTAGCGACAGCATTTCTAGTCAGGCAGTGCTGAGGGAGTCACTGGACTTCATGGTTTATTATCATTTACTAGCCATGGGATTGTCAACCAGGGGTATATGTACCCCTAGGGGTACTTAGAAAGGCCATAGGGGTTACACGCAGGCAGGGATGGAGCGCAGGTGTCTCCCCTGGCGCATTCCCATACTTTGCTTCTTACCTGGGGGAGGGATGCACTGGGTGTCACCAGCTCCATGCAATACAGTGCAGCGCCTCCCCGCCCAGCACCTCAGCTCGCTCTCTGTGCCCGCTCCCAGGAACAGGGCTGGGGGGACAAGGGCAGCAGTGATTCTCTGCGGGGCTGCGCATGCGCCTCCCGGCCAGCTGAATTGTGGGGGGCTTGCATGCAGCAGCCACGCTGCCACCATCACTACCCTGTGCCACCACTGCTGCTGTGCTACTTTCTTACAGTCGGTCACATGCACGGCTCTGTGGGCTGGTGACAGGCAGCTTGTGATTGGCCAGGGGTGAGGCCTATCACCAGCCCATGGAGCTGCATGTGTGACTGGTCGTGAGAAAGTGGCGTAGGGTGTGCCAAAGGCTGTGGTGCAGGGTGGCGATGGTGGCAGTGGCAGCGGCAGCCACTGTGTGTGAGCGTCCTCCTCCCCACATCTAGTCATCCGGGTGGTATGTGTGTGGCCTGCAGATAGGAACCACTGCCATCACCCCCCTGGCCCTGCTTCTGGGAGTGGGCACAGAGACACTCCCCTCCTCCCGTCTTGATCTGGCCCCACTCCACCCCTTCCCCCACACATATTTACCTCCTGGGGGAGGCGGTGTGTGTCCCCTGCCTGCCTGGTGGCAAGGCACATGGCATTGCACAGCTCTTGGGACAGTGGGGTGCAGAGTCCAGCCTGCAGCAGCAGCTGCCTCTGCCCTGTGCACAGATCTCAGGGACACATGCTCCCTGGGCTTCGACCAGGGTGCATACAGCAACAGGAGCTGCCCCCCTCCCTCCCCCCATGCCCCCTGGATAACCTGCTCTTGTGGCTGCATCCCGCACTTTGCCCTGGCTGTGCAGTGCCTACCCCTGCCCCATGCCTTAAAAACAAGAGAACAATATAAAGGGGTACATGAGCTGAAATTTTGAGGCAGAAGGGGTACACTTGTTAAAAAAGGTTGAAAACCCCTTTACTAGCCAGTTGCCTGTTAGGAATGACAGGGCAGGGGAGGGCAGGCAGGGATGGAGCACCACCACCTACCACCCCATGTTCCCACCGCCTCCGGGAAGCAGGGCCGGGTGAGGGGCCAGGCCCCACTCTGTCCCTGCCATCATGGTGGCACTCTGCTGCACTGCCTCCTGTCCAAAACGCTGAAGCATTACCAACAGACAGACAGAGGGACTAAGCCCTTAATTATATTAGAATCATCTGATCCCTTCTAAATTCTTCATTCCACAGGTGTTAAAAACCCTCTCTCCTTTTAATGGTCTTGATGTCCTGCCAATCAGGCCATCCTTTGTTCTGCAATTCTGCTGTCCCTTAGCTGCCCTTGAAGCTCTGATTTCACAGCCCTGAAAATTGTATTCAACTAATTCCAAGGCAATTATATTTTTATTCCATTTTAAACTGAATAATACAGCCTGAGGCTCCTAGCATATTAGTAAAGCTTCTAGTTTATTTTTAACTGGAGAAAAATATGTGATGTTTTATATGTGATGAGGCATCACACCATCTGCCTTTTCAAAATTCTAGATTTGCCTATAGTGTCATTAGCGGGGATCCTGGTTTTCTTTGATGTAAAAAAATCCCCAATTTTCAGATTTAAAAAAGTAACCCCAAATCCACATTTTTCCATTTCCCCAGAGTGGTGTTTCATTTTAATCATGGAAAAATGTGGATTTGGGGTTACTTTTTTAAATCTGAAAATTGGGGATTTTTTTTTAAATCAGAGAAAACCAGGATCCCTGGTCATTAGTGAGCAATTAGAGAATAAACTGCCCTAAAAGAAAGAAGCTTCCTTTTGCCCTTTGACAATTATTATTTTCCCCAGTCATTTATTTTTCCCCAGAAGTGTCTTGCTAAAATGAAGTGCTGTCATTGCTCACAGGAGAAGATTTTTAATGTACAGTATGCTGCTTTTTTCTCCCCCATGTTCTGCTGTTCCCATGGAATGGTTACAATTCCCACAAATGATGCAAATATTGATTTTAAGTTACCTCTTGATAGCAATGATTTGACATTCCTGTTCTGTCCTGTTTCACAAGGCATGCAGTTGCACTGACTGCAATGTAGGGCAGAGGATGACTGCTGGAATCTTATCTTTGTTTGATTTGTCTACAGCAGTGTCACTGAAATGACTTCAGCATAGTGGAGAGAGATCTGAGCTAACTTTAAACTAGCTTACTTGGGTATCAGTAGCAGTCTAGCCACAGCAGCATGGTTGTTTAAGGCTTGTGCGCTGGAAGATGTCTATGAAGATGACATTTTAACGGTAATGAACAACACTTAAACTGAAGCAAAAGTAAGGAGAATGTCTATGCAATGTTTTGTGTCAGTTTATAAACGACCTACAAAACCAGGGCATGTTGGGCATGGACAAGAGGGTTTTTGGATGCTTCTGTGCATCAAAGTGGAGGTTCATTGTGTGGCTGCAAGGCTGAGCCAGCAAGACAAGAGAAACTCAGTTTCAGGGTGTAATACCCAACACCATGCCTAGGCATGCATTTTCCCTGGATTTGTCTCCCTTAGTAAATTTACTCCGTAATAAAGACCAGATCAGCTCATCCACTGTAGGTCTTTGGTAGGTGCTATTACAGAGCTTAGCCACCAGGTGGCAGGTGAGCCAGGGGAGATGAACCTAGGTGAGCCGTCACCAGAGGTTCTGCATAGCAACTCTCAGGTAATAATGCAAGCTCACTACACATTTTTCATGGCAAGGGGCCTGCACCTAGATTATAGGGACTGGGAAGATGGTGATATGGCAGTAAGATGCACCAGTGTCCTGGGAATTGGATGCAGAGGCCAGAAGCCTGCAGGTGCTTGTACCACAATGGTGAGAGGTGTCTCCTAGAAGAGCTCTGACAGATTTCCTCCTTTTGCTTTTTGCAGACACAGAGAAGTCCCAGCAGAACCAGACTGATGACTCCAACCCTGAGGATGGCTCCTTGAAGAAGAAACAGCGAAGACAGAGGACTCACTTTACCAGCCAGCAGCTCCAAGAACTGGAAGCCACCTTCCAGCGCAACCGCTACCCAGACATGAGCACCAGGGAGGAGATAGCAGTCTGGACCAATCTGACTGAGGCACGAGTCCGGGTATGGCCACTCCTCATCTTCCACTCCACCCACCCTCAACACAGCCAGAGCTTGGGGAACTGGATTGAAACTGGATCCCAGCTCTGCAGCCAGCCCCAAGCCAGCCCAGTAAAGGCTTTGCCAGATTCTGAGATAAACCCCCAGAATCTGCTCCTAGCACTCAGCAGGCCTCAGTCACCCGTTCACAGGAACAACTGCTCACTTCTGCAAGACTTCATGAGGGAAATCTCACCAAGGCTAACAACACGGGGCATCTTCTCCCACAAGCAGGAAGCTGCGCATCCTCCATGCCAACATATTTCCCGGGGGAGGAACAGTGAGGGAGGGAGGTTTCTCTGCTGCTCAGAGTCCAGGGCCCTTGGGGAAGAAACCCGGTGCCATAACACACTTCATGGAGTTCCCCCTCTCACACTTGTAATGCTCTGTGCCCTGACTGTTGCCACCGCCCCCGTGCTCTTCTCCCTCCCTTTCCCCATCCTCGCTGTCTTCGCTTCTGTGCTGTCTCTCCTCAGCTCTGATTCCCCGTGCCTCTTCCCAGTCTCTTCCATAGTTTCATAGTTTCTAGGGTCGGAAGGGACCTGAGTAGATCATCTAATCCGACCCCCTGCCATGGCAGGAAAAAGTACTGGGGTCAACCCATATTACCTCACAACTTCCCCTGCCTCACAACGGCCTTGCCCAACAGATGAGGTGTTCGCCTAGGATTCGAGAGGCCTATTCCCTATGCTATCACGTGTCTGTGGAGTGATCTGGGACGAGTCACTGCCTTTCTCTATGCCTTCCTTCCTTGCCCCCTCCTTTATCATGTGGACTGAAATGGGAAGTTCTTTGCAGCAGAACTAATTCATTATATAGGGTCAGGACTCCAGTCTTGCGAGTGCCTTCTGGATGTTTCTATAAATACAAACTAACAGCATCCTTATCTCTCCCTCATCTCATCCCCTAAACCAGTAGTCAGCAACTGTTCAAGTGACAGGCCAGAGTGACCCAGTTTGGGTCAGAGGCAGGTGGGCAGGTGCTTGGACCCAGCCATCATTGCCACTTTTCAGTGTGATGACATGGGAAAGCAACTGCCAAAGCACCACGTCTGTGGGACCGATCAAATGGTTCTGCAGGCTGGATCTTGCCTGTGGTCTATAGTTTGCTGACCCCTGCCCTAGTCTCTCTACACTGCCTACATCCCAATTTCCCCAAGTGCCAGTTTCTGTCCTTTCCCTATTCTATCCTCTCCCCTTCTTTTTAATCCTTTTAGTTCTTTTTGCTCAGTATTTTACTTTGGTCCAGGCTGCAGGTTTCTGTTTCCTGTCAGGAATTAGTTCTCAGAACACAAGGGCTCATTGCTAGCTCATGATTTTTGACTCTCAGGAGATTTTGGCTGTTTAAAGGAAATTCTTACAAATTTCTGGTGACTGTTTTGCCTTTCTCCAAAATGGCTCCCAGTTGCTGTGACTGTCAATAAGAGTGAAGTCATACATGCCTTCAGAAGATGGCTGACAAGCCTCTAAATTTTAGAGATGAAAAATGAGACTTCTCCAGCAAAGATGGATGCCATCGCCCTTTATTTCTAGTTGAGCAGAAGCTAAGCTCTGAGGGGAAAGGGCAGCTGATTTGTCTTGTTGTGAGGGTTAAGAAAATGTCGAGATCCTGGCAGTGGGAGAGAATTAAGCAAGATACATTAGGACTTGGAGTAGGGAGAACAGAAAGCAGATGATGGATTACAGGTGAGCAGGAAGGAAGGAGACAGATGGGTACAAGGGAAATATGAGGTGGCGGTCAGGGAGAAGGTGCTGAGTAGGCAACTGTGATTAGAAAAAGACATTTCATTAGCACTGAGCATTCAGCAGGCAGAGCTGTAGAAGAGAGAGAGATCTACACTGATCATGGGGGGAGGCCAGTGCTATATGCTAAGGTGATAGAAATGATGATCCCTAAGCCCCTGAATTAGGACCCTCTGAGCCCTCTTCGGGTCCACTCATACTGCAAAAGGGAGAGATTTTCGCAGGGCAGGAGATAAAGGGAAGTGCAGAAGGAAAAAAGAAGTGAAGTAGCTTCCTACCCTGGCTAAGGTAGGATTGACAGCTCCTCACAGCTCAGTTGATGTAACCCAATGAGTTTACTGCAATCCTTGAGCAGGAAACCTACCTTTAAAACTGAATCTTCAGCCTATTATGATTCTATCCAAGTCTGAAATCTGCAGCTTCCCCTCACTCATGACAAGGCAATATTTTTGCCGTAATTCTTAAAGATCCAAACAAACAACAGCACAGGCCCAAAGCATAAGAACCCAGAAGGAGAACTAATTAGAAATGCATTAGAAACTTGCTTCACCATCCAAACTTGACAAAAATGCCAAAAGTAAATTGCATTATTGCTTAAGCAAATCATATTTAAAACACAACAAAATTTCCAGGCTTCCTAATCCAAGATAGTATCAACAATCCAAGAAAAAAATATATAGACTTTTTATTTTCACATGGTTCCATTTATAGTTTTTAAAATCAACTTCTATATTCTTTGGGTTTACTGTATCTTAGTCTTTATTTAATAATCTTTCACCCTTTTCTAATGAAGGCCAAAGTTAACAAAAAACCCACAAACCAAGATAATTTTTTTAGATAAAAAAGACAAAAACAGATTTGTAGCCATACTCACACCTGTACGGTCCTCAAACTGTGTTCCTCAGAGCACTTGCTTATAGCCTACAAAGACCTAGCCAGTCACATGTTAAAACTTTTCCTTCTGGTTTCCAATCACTAGATCAGTTTTGGGGAAAAAAGGCTAACTAATTTGATAGGGGTGTAGGTTGTAGCTAATTTTATAATATTTTGCCCATGTAAACAACTAATTTTATAATATTTTGCCCATGTAAACAACTGCTAGACTTGATATATGATGGGAATGCACAGCAAGGTGGGTGACATGATTGCAAATAAAAGAGGAGAGTGACTCTGAGATAATCTTTCTATTAAATTGTGGCACACGCCAGAGCAGAGTTTGAGGTTTTCTGACTTCCTGAGAATCTCTGCTGAAAATTTCCAGCTGGTTCTGGTAGATCTCCATTACAGTCAAAGAATCAGCAAAAATTTTGAGAGCCCAGAAGGGGGGATTTTGAAAGAGCCTGCTGAATTTTTCACTACTTTGGTGTAAATTCACTCTTTGGGGTATCTATAGAAACCGTAGAGGTGCATGAGTACATTTACACTGTAAATCATGATGGGACTCAAAGATAGAAAACACCTTACACAATGACAATGTCCATTTCATGATTATCCCCTATATTGCAGACTCGGTTGTTTGATTTTGTGGCTCCTATCCACTTTCATTGGAAGATCATTCCACCACCTAGCAGGACATCACTAAGCAACCTGTCCCGATATACAGTTAGCTTTTTCTTTCATGAATTCTACTGAACACCTCCCATTTACAACCCCTTCATTCATTCCACTCAATCCCTCTCCCAATATCCTTGGATTGGTAAAGGAAGGATAAGGGATGAATAAGAATGTTTCCCTGCCAATAATCACAGTGACCCCCTTCCCCTCTCTCCTTCCTTCGCAGGTCTGGTTTAAGAACCGCAGAGCCAAATGGAGGAAACGAGAAAGGAACCAACAGGCAGAACTTTGCAAGAACAGTTTTGGAGCCCAGTTCAATGGACTGATGCAGCCTTATGATGACATGTATTCTAGCTACTCATATAACAACTGGGCTACCAAGGGCCTTGCCACCAGTCCCTTGTCAGCCAAGAGCTTCCCCTTCTTCAACTCCATGAATGTCAGCCCCCTTTCCTCCCAGCCCATGTTTTCCCCACCCAGTTCCATTGCCTCCATGACCATGCCTTCCTCCATGGTCCCCTCAGCAGTGACTGGAGTACCTGGCTCCAGCCTCAACAATTTGGGAAACATCAACAACCTCAACAGCCCAAGCCTCAACTCTGCTGTTTCATCCAGTGCCTGTCCTTATGCCTCTACTGCCAGCCCCTACATGTACAGGGACACATGCAACTCCAGCCTGGCCAGCTTGAGGCTGAAGGCCAAGCAGCATGCTAACTTCACTTACCCAGCAGTGCAGACGGCAGCTTCCAACTTGAGCCCTTGCCAATATGCTGTGGACAGGCCTGTATGAAGGACTGCCCTCTCTGCCCATCGGGGACTTGACCTAAGCCTGACAAAAGGAGACCTTTTGCCCTAAAAAATGGGGTATGTCATGCAGGAGAGAGACAGGCAGACAGACCTCTATGAAGACTTGTCTAACTATCGTATGGTGAATTTTGACCGTCTTTCCCCCCCCGGTAAAACAACCAAAACTGTCCATTGGAAACCCAGTTGGAAACATAGAAACCTATGACATGCAGTTTTCCTAACTCCTGGGCAGCAGGACTGAGCACATTTCAATCTAACCCCCAAGATCTAACAGTTCTTCACTCCCTGCCCTTGGATCAAAAATTCCTGTTTAAAGCATAGGCAACCAGATGGTACAGCTCCAGGAGGCAGCCGGGGACTGAGGCAAAATAGCACAGCCACTCAGTGCTTGGTTGACCACACAAATGTGTGAGAGCTGTCTGATGTCATATAAAGGCATCTTTCCCACTTATTTATCATGTGGCCAATCCTGAACCTGGCAAGGAAGGCCCTGGCTCAGTCAGCATACATTTTTATACTGCAGATATATGCATGGCCATTACAACTTGAAGCCCTTAGGGACTGGGAGTTGTAGGGAATGTAGACTGTGTGTGTGTTTATATTTTATATATACACACACACACACAAATATATATATATATAAAATATACTTTTTTTGTTTTATACATGGAACAATCTCTGAAGTAGACCTTAAGGATGAAAACCCAAGCATGTCCACCAAAGCAGAGCGTTCTGCCTGCCATGCTTTAGCGCATAAGTGCATAAGTCATTTCCAGTCTGATAGGAATTCCTTTGCCAATGTACACCCAAAGAATTCCCTCTTCCCTCCCCCCCCACCCTTCTGCAACAAACCAACCCCCCTCTTGCGCACCTTCCCCTCCTGCAATTCTACTTTGGAAAGAAAATAAAATGAAAGTTGGAGCAATCCCTTTCAGGTTCATGTCTGTTTGGTTATTGGAAGCGCAAGCTGATAACATGGGGAAGAAACAGTAAAGCTGATAAAAGTGCAGTGCCCTATGCAGGCCCTGGTCTGAGACCCTTTCCCTTTTCTCCCTTGCTAGGGACTGTAAAAAACCCAATGAAGCTAAACATCAACAGCAGAGTCCAAAACACCTCTCCCAGGCTGCCTCTGTGATCTTGAACTTTGGGCAAGTGGCTCCAGCCCCTGCCCAGGTTCTTCCATGGAAAAACTCCAATTCCTTCTTAGTCTCTAACAAAGGAAGAGTTACTTATACCTTCTGCCACTTCCCAGCATGCTATGCCCCTATATTACTCAGCATCCTCTGTAATTTTAACTCCAAGCATGCCTCCTGTTCTGCAGTGTATCTAGGTTGACTGCAATACTGGAGCTGGGAATTTGCCTTAAAGGGCCAGCACTGCTGCATACAGTGAACAGAGGAAGAGCTCCTATCTCTTTGGTTGGTGCTGAGAAGAGGGTAGAGAAAATTCTTCCTTCTATCTCAGCTCTGGTTGATATAAAAGCTCTACTTCCTGCTTTAATCTGCTTTGAATTTGCATATTCGCTAGATCTCAACAGGTTGTTTCTGAAACTTTATTTGCCCTCTGTCTAGCTTCTATAGGTTCCCTTCCTACCCAAGTACCAGGCCCCGCAAAATCAGGCTGAACTCCACAGGTAAGTACTGGTGTTTGGGAAAAGCCCAGGATCAAATCATCAGTGTCTGGTATTCTCTTCTTTCTTAGTCCACAGGAGAAGGGACTCTGTAAAGAAAACTTGGGGGAAAGATGTATTTGAAATGGATGTACTAGCTAGCTGTGTTACAGCATGTCAGCACCCAGACCAAATAGCCAACCACAGGACACCAATGGCATACAACCAGCTTAGACATGGCACCAAACTTAGTAACATGACCTCCAAAAAAGATATGCAGATGACAGAGACTGGGAGCTTGGTAAGTAAAGAAAATGACAGGTCATTGCGAGAGAGTGGTCTGGATGACCGAGTAAACTGAGCACAAGCAGCCAATATGGATTGCAGCACAACCTACTGTAAAGTTCTGGGGGCATGGGCAATCTGACCCTTGGAGCAGTTTCAAAAGGGAACTTCACAGCAGCTGTTACAGTCCAACAGTGCACAAAAGCCAGGAGCAAAACAGCTCTAACTTTAACCCTGAACAAAGCACAAAGATTGAATAATAAAGAACAAAAAGTGAAGGCCATACTGACAGGATGGGGACTCTATCCTGGGAAGTTATGACCCTGAAAAAGACTTGGGGGCAGTTAATAGTGGGTAATCAGTGTGACACGTAGCTAAATGGACCATTATCAACCTTAGATGATCTTAAGTCAGAGCAGGGAGGTTATATTATCACTGGTTTGATACCAGTGTGACCGCTTCTGGAATAGTGTCCATAGTTTAAAATGGATGTAGATATACTGGAGAGAGTCCAGAGAAGAGTCCTGAGAATGACCAGAGAACTTCACCTGCATCTGATAAGGTGAGCTGCAGCTCACGAAAGCTTGTGCTACATATACACCTACTTTGGTTAGTCTGTAAGGTGCAAATATACCCTGCTTTGCAAAGAACTGGAAGACAGGCTTTATAGCAGGAGATTCCGGAAATTCAGCTACTTTGCAGGATCTCAATACTAAATAATCCAAGGAACTAAATAATGGGCCTTTCAGTCTCACAGAGAAGATATAACAGGGTCCTGTGGGCTGAAAGTTGGAGCTAGACAAATTCACAGTGGTGGTAAATAATCACTGCAACAAATTACCAGGGAAGAGCTGCACCATAGTTCAAACAATGTAAGACCAATGACAGCGTTAGGCAGGAAGCCAGATGAGAGATCACAGGGGTCCTCTCTGCCCTTATAATCTACAAACATCAGCTGTGCATGGTAGCCCAGACTCCCTACTCTGTATTTAAACCCACATGAGTCAGTAGTGTCCCTAACAGCTGGTAAATCCTGGATTTATACCTGCATAAAAGGGATCACTCTCTAGGCCTCTCACTATTTCTTATGACCCATGCTCTGCACCCGTGACCACAGCCAAACTCAGGACAGGTAGAAGACTTTCCTTGAAACCCTTCCATCATTAGATGTTTCTCTGAAACTTGCTAGTGTACCCCTGATAAATTAAGTTAATGCTATTCTGATAAATCATATTCCTCAAGAAAAGACCACACCAGCACTGCAAATGATACAGAGCTCTAAGGAGACAGTTGTCTCTTAGGAGCTTCCAACTCTCCTGGGTACTTCCTTATCTTGAACATGGGGGTTAACCCAACCTGCCACAGCTTTCTGACCCTTCCAAACTAACATTGTCACCAACCACATCACCAATCTATCTGCCAACCCTTCCTTGCACCCTCCCTAGTAAGCAGAGTCACCAATTTCATGGCCATCAGGCAGGGGCAGATCCAGGAGAGGGTGGTGGTGTGATTGCACCCCTCTTTGACTGTGCACTGCATGCACAGTGAGCTCTCTGAGCTCACTGACATGTCAGCTGCTGGAAGCTCGGGGTTGTGACATGAGATCTGAGCTCACCAGCTGGTCTGTGCAAGATCTGGCTGGAGCCCCTGTTTTCACAGCTCAGGAGCAGCAATCCTTCCCTGCCCCCTTTTCTCAGCAGCCACTGTGAGCTAGCGAGAAGATAACATTCTGGACCAGACCTGCTGAGTTTCTATCTGTGGATGGCAGAAACAGTCCTGGGCAGGTCCCTCCCCATCTTCACCTTCCAGAGGTGGTTCTCTTGCAAACTTCTTCCTTTGCAGTTGTGGAAGTGGTTGGGACCTGTTCACAAACACTGTGATGTCTGCTCCAGCAGGTGTGGTCCTAGCTGGTTTCCTGCTGTCACAGGAGAATTGTGTGATGTGTCAGACTTGGAAGATTTGCACCAAATCAGCAGAATGCAACTCCAGAGCACAGCAGGAGTTGAGGCCAGGTGGTAGGCACTGTTCTAAAGAGTAGCAGGAGCCACACCTGTGGAAAAGCACAAGCAGTACCTGGCACCCTGTCCTGAGGCTGAACAAGAACCCAGCAGATGTGGTCCCATGTACATTTGGAGCCATTTCAACAGGGCAGCCACTGGAACCTTCTAACTGCTGGATGTGAACAAGCTGAGAATGATTCACAAGGAGCAAAACTGTTTCACCTTTAATTCTGCTTCTTTCAGGGTTAAAGCTGGAGCCATTTTGGATTCTCACACAACAGCACAACTCATAGTTGCTGCCCAGCTGAAACATACCCCTTCTGAAAGCGTTCCTTCCATAGGAGCATCTAGCTATGGTAAAAATTGATCATGGGCATGAAAAGAGACCGTGGTCTACTTGCAGATGCCATGGCAAACTAGTGCCATCACACTGCTGCCATTGGCCAGACAATAAATCACATTAGCTCTGCAGTTGTTTTAGTTCCCCAAAGCTCACAGGAAAGTGAAGAGCTACAAGCTAAGCAGAGTGTACCCTTCCAGTGAGACTGGGCATTTATAGATGTGCTCTGGATTGTGGTGGGGGACTTTAATTAGACAGCTGTGCTAATTAAAGGCACCCGAGTGTCACTTGTGCCTCTCTCCAGCCCTGTGTTGAAAAAATGGTGGTGGGGCACTTTGAACTAAAGCTTGTCAAGCTGTGCGAGGCTTGTCAAGCAAGCTTTAGTTCAAAGCGCCCCACAGCCATTTTTTCAAAACCCCACCACCATTTTTCAGTGCAGAGACACTGATACACGTGACACTGGAGGCTGCTGGAGTGTGGTAATTTCTCTGTTAATCTGAAACTTGCTAATGTACCTATGATAAATTAAGTTAATGCTATTCTGATAAATCAAGTCTGCTCTTACACCCTGGATTTACAATGTGTCAGAGCAGCCTCCCTGCATGTGTGTAAGTGCCCAATATGCACAAGGGCATTCATTTGATCCTGGCCTCCTGTCAGAAAGCAACACTCATGGTTTTCATCCACTAAGGAAGTCCTAGGAGCAGCAACTGCCCTGAGCCAAATTAAAGCTGTGGTTTCTTTCATAAAGTGAGGGGCCTTCTTTACCACTAACAGAAGATACTTGGAGCAGAGACCCTGCCCAGGCAACAGTCTCTCTGAAACCCCATGTCCAAAATTAACCTTAATGAGGCATGACCTTAGGCCCAACAGTCCCAAAATAAGGGTATCTTACTTACAGTCTCAAAGTAAGGGTGCCCTTTTGAATCCTAAAGCAAGCCTACCAGAGTCTTCCCCAGCTCGTTTGGTGGTAAACAAGTGGGTGGGTCTCCATCCAGTTCCTCTGTTCATACTCCAAAGACCTGACTGTTGCCTCCTTGGCTGGCAGAGCCACAGGCCAAATGGGCTGTGGAGACCAATACCCTTCTCACCAGCAGAGCCTTTCCCAGAAGAGCAGGGAAGAGCTTGCATTAACAATGTCCACGCCTTCCCAGGGGTCGAGGTATTGAAGACTCCAAATCTGTCCTGTGAGCAAGGAGTGCTCTGCCACAGAGGGGAACCTGCCAGTCCACCACATGTGGAAAGACGGCTGTGCCCCTAAGGGGATATGAAGTCACAGAGGGACACCAATGAGACTGAAGATAACAGGATCCCAGACAAGGAAAAGAAGGAGTATACAGGTCTTCCAGCTAGATTAGTGGGGAAGATAGAGCATCTCCTGTTAATGTGTACCTGGTTGGAGGGCAGCTGCTAGGAGGCAGGAGTTATCTGCTCCCCTGTGGCCAACCCCCTCAGCTGAAGAGAAAGAAACCAGATACATTCTTCTTACCCAAACCTGTCAGCCCACAGAGATTTTGCAGGACATACAGGTATCTGGTGCTGAGGACAACCAGGGGTGGAAATAGTTACGCAGCATTGAATGCAATGAAGAGAGCACTTGATAAATACATAGCCTTTTGAGAGCCTCTGATTGCCTGTAAGCACCGCACATACCAGAGGTCCCCTCCTCACCAAAATGGACTTCAATA